GCGGCAGCCGCGACAGCCTCCTCAGCCGCCACAGTGGACGCGCCGCCGCCCAACACGGCTACTGCCCAAGCACCGGAGCCTCCAACCGCCCAACACTGAGAACCCTGTGCAGCGCCCACGGGTGCGACATCGCCACTGACGGCAGTAGCAGCCGCCGCAGTAGCAGCATTGGCCGCGACCCCGCCGGGAGCAGCACCATGAGCACCGGTCACGGCCCCCTCGGCAGTAGCACCGGCAGTTGCATTGGAAGCAGCAAGGGCAGTAGCACCGGCAGTAGCAGTGAAAGCAGCAACGGCGCCACTGGCAACGGCGCCGGCAGGCAAGATCTCCCTCTGGTGCGATGAAACTGCAACATCCCGACTCTCCCCCTCCTGCTGCTGCTGCTGCTGCTGCTGCTGTAACTCCAGGAGGCTGCCATCGGCAACTGTCTCAGCCGCCGCCATCGCTGTCCGCAACCCAGGCTCGGACTGCTCTGGGGTTGACTTCAGAAGTAGCTGCTGCTGCTGCTGCTGCTGCTGTTGCTGCTGCTGTTGTTGCTGCTGCAATAGCTCCTGCGGTGGCACTGGCGGCAGTGATGACGGCGACGGCGGCGGCTTCAATGCCTCTTCCGTCTGCTGCGGTAGAGGTGAGTGTGGTAAGGGGGGCAGCGGCTGCTGCTGCTGCTGTTGCGGCTGATCCAAGAGCTGTGTCTCCTGCCCCAGCGCCAAGTCGTTTTGGTGCTGCTTCTGCTGCGGCGGTAGCGCTGGCGCCAGTAGTCCCTGTATTACCGGTTGCTGTTGCTGCTGCTGCTGCAGTGGCAACGGTGGGGGCGGCTCCAGTACCTCCGAAGGCTGCTGCAGCTCTAGCGTTGTTGCTGCTTGTGTTGCTGCCCATTATGCTGCTGATGATGATGAGTATGAGGCAGAGGCAGCGGCGCCGGCGGGGACGGAGGCAGGTGCAACGTTAGCGGCTGGTCTTGCCGCTGCAGTACTGCATCCGCAAGCTGCCATTCCAGCACCTGCTCCGCTGCCTGGCGCCCCGCGACCCCCGCTCCCTGCAGCAGTTCGCCCGCTGCCTGAGTGTGCTCCTCCGCGTGCTGCTGCTACCTTTTCATGCAGAAGCACATACAAATATACGCAAATAACTAAAACAAAAACGCACGTTAGACAACTTGCCAATGTGGTCTCATGGGAGGTGACGGGACTTTGGGAAATAGCTACACGACAAAACACGTCAACAGCCGAGACAACGGCACGCAACGAGACATACATATAGATAAAGTGACTCACAGACAGACAGACAGACAGACGGACAGACCGAACACACCAGGTGCAATGACATGGCAATGACAGGGGCGCTGGACTGCAGGTCTCGGTGTGCCAACCGCCAAACTACCATCCAACTACTACCAGCTAACACATAAGCATCCCAGGGAAAAAGAGCGCTATATGACCCACGGGTCCGTCCATTCCCACGCTGCTGCTTCCCCTGCCCTCTCCCGTCCCCACCTGCTCCGCGGACGCCTCGCTGGTAGTGGCAGGCGGTG